AGCCCCCAGGCTCTCACCCGTGGCCCGCAGCCACTCCTGTCCCCAGCGGGCGGTGAAGAGCCCGTCGCCGAGGTCGCGGAAGAAGCGCTTGAGGGTGTTGGCCACGTCGTCCACCTGGTGCTCGCCCTCCTTCAGGCGCACGCTGCGGGCGTCGCGGCGCAGCAGCTCCAGCAAATTGGTGGTCTTGGAGTTCTGCCCGCTCTTGCGGTAGATACCCTCAGACGTCAGCCCTGGGTGGGGGGCGAGACAGTGGCAGGGGATGAGACCCCCATGGTGGGGAACAGCCACCCCTCCTGGGTGTTGGAGCCAAAGCCCCGCGCCGGAGCTCTCCTATGGATGCTCCACAGGCATCACGAGCGCGTTGGGTCTCAGCCGAGGCGGTGACTCCCAACTCCCCCCACCATGTCCCCAGTCCCCCCAGTACCGCACTGGGTGATGTAGTCGATGCAGCGATCCACCAGCAAGGGGACGTCGGCTTCCGTCAGCTGCTGCTCCCCCAGAGTGGCCCCTCCGCTGCTCGCCGCTTTTTGGATGGCCTGCACCCAGCCAAGGAAATCCAACTTCCTCTCCCCCTGGATGTACAGCGTCCTGTGGGCAACACCAGCCTCACTTGTGGGGGGGCAGAAAAACCCCCACATGGGTGGTTCTGGCTCTATTTTGGGGTGAAGGCACCCCAGGGTGGGATAATTCGCCTTGTGGGGGTCTAACGCCCCCATCCCCACCCCCCTCTGCTCTCACCTCCGCCTCTCCACCAGCACCAGCACCTCGTTGTCCCCCTGGATGGCTGCGAGGGAAGGCAGAGACCCCATCACCCAGGGGAAAACGAGGTCCTCAGCCCCCCTCAAGCCCATCAGGGCAGGATATGGGGGGAGTCAAGGATTTGGGGAGGGGGACGTACAGAGCTCCTGGAGCTTGCGGAGCTGCAGGGGCTCCTGGCGGTCACCATCCGGGAAGCAGCCGTGCAGCGTGGAGCCCACCAGGGCGAACCACCCTTCCCGGGCCTGCTCCAGGTTGAGCCCCCCCTTGTACTGCAGCCGCCCCAAGCGCTCAAAGTCCAGCGCCAGCAGCTCCTCGGCGCGGGGGGGCACAAAGGACTGAAATTGGGGAGAGGAGGAGGCGTCCGTCAGCGTCGTAGCACCCGGACACCCCCATTTCTGGCACCCCCCGGCCCCGGCGGAGCCCACCTTGGCGATGGATTTGAGCCATTCCCGCGCGGCGTCGGGGCTCTCCAGCCCGAAGAGGTAGAGCCGTTCCGCCTCGGTGTAAACCTCAAAGGTGCTCTCGATCCTGTAAGAGGGGGGAGAGAGGGGTTTTTGGGTGCCCCTGTGGGTGGTTTGGGAGCTCACGGGGTGCAGGGGGGGGTGGTTGGGTGGCAGTGGCTCCCTGGTCCTGTTTGGGGACTCCCAGCACGGCCCCGGGGCTGTCAGTGTCCCCACGGTGCTGTGCTGCTGTAACAGGGGCTACTAAGGGGTTACTAAGGGGTTACAATGGGCTTGCACAGGGGTTGCAATAGGGGTTACAAAGGCATTGCAAAGGGTTTGCACAGGGGTTACAAAGGGTTTGTAAAGGGGTCACAAAGTTGCAAAGGGGTTGCACAGGATTTGCAAAGGGCTTCCCGGCCCCTTGCAAAGGGGCTGCAAAGGGGCTGCAAAGGGGTTACAATGAGGTTGCAAAGGGGTTACAAAGGGGTTGCAAAGGGACTGCAAAGGGACTGCAAAGGGGTTGCACAGGGGTTACAATGAGGTTGCAAAGGGTTTGCAAAGGGTTTGCAAAAGGACTGCAAAGGGGTTGCACAGGGGTTGCAAAGGGTTTGCAAAGAGGTTACAAAGGGGTTGCACAGGGTTTGCATAGGGGTTATGAAGGGGTTACAAAGAGGTTGCAGTAGGGGTTGCAATAGGGGTTGCAGAGGGGCTGCAAAGGGGTTACAAGGGGGTTGCATGGGGGTTACAAAGGTGTTACAAAGGGGTTACAAAGAGGTTGCAAAGAAGCTACAAGGGGGTTGCACAGGGGCTACAAGGGCTGCAATGGGATTGGAAAAGGATTTGCAAAGGAGTTGTAGAGGGGTTACAAAGAAGTTGCAAAGCAGCTGCACAGCAGTTGCAAAGGGTTTGCAAAAGGTTACAAAGGGTTTGCAAAGTGGTTACAACGGGGCTACAAAGAAGTTGCAAAGGGGTTGCAAAGGGCTTGCAAAGGATTTGCAAAGGGATTACAAAGGGGCTGCAAAGTGGTTACAAAGAGGTTACAAAGGGGTTGCACAGGGGTTACAATGGGGCTACAAAGAAGTTGCAAAGAGGTTGCACAGGGGTTACAAAGGGGTTGCAAAGTGGTTACAACGGGGCTACAAAGAGGTTGCAAAGAGGCTGCAAAGGGCTTGCAAAGGATTTGCAAAGGGATTACAAAGGGGCTGCAAAGTGGTTACAAAGAGGTTACAAAGGGGGTGCACAGGGGTTACAATGGGGCTACAAAGAAGTTGCAAAGAGGTTGCACAGGGGTTACAAAGGGGTTGCAAAGTGGTTACAACGGGGCTACAAAGAGGTTGCAAAGAGGCTGCAAAGGGCTTGCAAAGGATTTGCAAAGGGATTACAAAGGGGCTGCAAAGTGGTTACAAAGAGGCTACAAAGGGGTTGCACAGGGTTTGCAAAGGGCTCACAAAGGGTTTGTACAGGGGTTACAAAGGGGTTGCACAAGGGTTACAAAAGGGTTATGAAGGGGCTGCAAAGGGGTTGCAGAGGTCACAAAGAGGCCGCACAGGGGTTGCACACGGCTTGTAGAAGGATTACAAAGGGGTTGCACGGGGGCTACAAAGGGGTTACAAAGGGTTTACACAGCCCCCTCACCAGCCCTGCTCACTCCTGCACCCCTCAAGCGCCAAGGGCCCAGCAGCAGG